ATAAAAGCTCAAAAATCGTTTTATGCACAAAAAGATTATTTCATAAAAATACTTGTATAAAAAAATATTTTTCAATTTCAACTTGATACTCTTTTAGAAAGCTAACTCTATAACTTGTGCGGCTCTTTAAACTTCTAATTGCATTCCAATAATCATATGTAATCTTCTGGACTCTTCCAAGGACTATACTATAACTCTCAACTCTTTTGACTTTAACTAGGATTCAATAACTCATATTTTGACTTTGAGTACAATTCGATAAACTCTTAATACAATTAAACTACGATTTAATTTTGATTAAGAAAATTGCCAATTACAAATATAAAAATTGCTCATTACAATTTGGACTTAATAAAATGAATATAATATATATACACACACAAGTAGAATTTAAGTATATTTAAATTATGTTTAATTATTGTAGTGGCTCTTTTAAATGTATTTTACTTTTTCGATAAAGTTAGCCAAATGAGTCCTTAATGGATTTGCATCGGACAATCAAGCCAGACATAGTTTGTCCATTATAACGGATCTACTCATAAACTAGCCTAAATTGAGTTGATTGTTTTTTATCGTTCGGTCCGACTGCTCACCCATTTTGCAAAATTTACACTTGCTTCGTATTTTATGGTCTATATTTCTAATAAAGTTACTCATGTGAGTAATGTTATTCTGCCACATTGGTGCTTAACACCAAGTTATTTAGTAATGGGATAATTGTAACATTGTCGAATAAGTTATAAATTAGAAAATTTGATAATAATCACACTGTCACATAAAATGATAATAAACACTAATAAAGCTAAATGATATTATTTTACTCATATTTGAACCTCTTTCTTTCCACAACTTAAATGTACTAATGGTGAAGTTGTCCAATGGAATAAGCCGAGTCAGCTTGACTCGCCCCAGACATAACCGAGCAAGCCAACTCGCTAGTCAAAGCTAAGCAAGTCTATTGGCTTGCTTGGCTTCGCATGCAGGTGCCATTATCTCCAATTCAGGCGGTCACATTTGAATTCAAAATTGAAATTTTGAAATCCTTTTTTTCTTTTAAATTTCTAGGCCTCATTTGAGCTTCATTTTTCCATTAAAATGCATCATTCTGCAGTGATAATACCTCATTTCAACTATATATTTTTCAATAAAATAATATTACAGTAAATTCAAAACTTTTCCTTATTTTTAACCGCACATTCTCCATCGTAACAATATTGCAAAATGCATTTTTGCAATTAAAATTGGTGTATTTTCAATTTCCCCCTTTTTCCACCAGTTATTGCTTTTTCCCTATTATATTCCCATAATTCATGATGGGAAATTTTTCAATCCATCCTCCGAAGAGGTAGAGGAATATTTTTCAACTCCCGGTAGTTAAAAAGTCTCGATTCCACTTAAAATAATTTTAGAATATAAATCAAAAGTAAGAGACTTTTTTGTTCTCTACAGAAATACGCGTTATTATGCAATCAAGGTCTCTTAACAGTTGCCACTATTTTTACGTTTCTTGAATTTTAGGATATAATATTTAAATAACTAGTACGACTTTTTAAACAAAAATTCAATTGGCTTGGGTTGGGTTAGATTGAAAAATCAAATTTGAGGTCGAATTAGGATGGATCTCGAATTATGAATTAAAACTCAATTCAACTCAACCTAACCCGATGAATTAAAAAAAATTAATACCTAAAATGGAAAAACCTAAATAGATACAATAGTTAAGAGGAGGATTTAGAATGTACAACGTCCCTTTTTTTATTTAGGCTGATTGGTATGAACACTTATAAATTCCAAAAAAATTATAAAAAAAATTCCAAAAATGGCTACATAGTTTCAAACTTATTTATAAATTAATTTTCAGAAAAAATTCCTTATATATGTTAAAAATAATGAAAATTTTCAAGTGGTTTCAAATTTTAAAAATCATTTAAATTCAACAAAAAATAAAAATAATTGGATTCAATATAAATTGAGTCCAGTGGCGGACCCACATGGGGTCATGTGGGGTCATGTGGGGGTCAAATGACCCCACAATTTTATTTTTTTTAACTAAACATTTTTAAATTCTCATTTTAGACCCCATAAGAAAAAGGGGTACTTACAAAAATACCCTTAAAATTATGTGTGTGTTGAAAAATCATATGAAAAGTTTTTAGGAAGTAAAAAATACTGTGTAAAATAAAAAAGTGACATAATGTCACCTTTT